CGCCATATGCAAACGAGGATGCAACTTGTATTTGATATAGAAAGATAGCCCTTGATTTACTCTACAAAATTCTATATAAAGAACCTTTAACCATTATTGGCCGAGTCACTCATAGCTTCTACAAGAGACGAATTGAACCTAAAAAGCCGGTATCAGAGATGTTTTAAGTATTTTTTTCGCCATTTACAAACAATGATCTGACTTGTATTTGATGTAGAAAAATACCCACTGAAAAACTGAATAAAATGGTATATGAACCATAGTTACATACCATATTACTAAGGAGAAATGGTTTATTTTCAAGCATTCCCTATCTAGTGGCTATGCTTGAGTGATCATATTTTCCCATTTTCTCCCATAAGCAAGAGTGGATGCAACTAGTCTGTAGTATAGAAAAATAGTTCTTGAAAAGTTGTACAATATTTTGAGTAAACAACAAACTCTACATACTATTGACTCAGTCCATTATAATTTAAATATGAGAAGAATCACGGAAACGCACTCATATTTTACAGTTTTCATCAAATTTCAATTTTTTCTCAAAACCAACACAATATTTGTGTACGTTCCACTATAGTGGAGAGTCTGTGCATATATGCACAGACTCTTCATCTATTCAAATCACTAGTGTAGTCTAAGTGTATTTGTAACTGCTTCAGCTCAAATTTATAGTGAATGGATAATTATTGAGTGTGATTCTTTCGCGATGTAGTTAAGGTTATGAAAACCCACTCCAAAAAAACGTCGAAGTCCATAGCAACGCTATCCCTTGGCCATACGACTATAGTGTGAGCCTGCATTTTGTTCGTATTGGTTCTTCATTTAACGCTATTTGATGCATGTATAACGAATTTCCAGCTTATTTTTACCAAAATTAGGTTCTCTATCGACATTTTAAAAACTGAAGTGTTCTCCTGCATACCGTTAAAAAGAGCGCACTTGATTATAATACCGATACAATTTTAAGACTGTCATTTTTCCTGCTGCACCCGTTATATTTAATTGTTCAAAAGAGGTTTATTTCTCATTTTAATATTTATAAATACTTGTACGCAGGTATTTATTTATATAGAGTTAGATTTATGCTTCTTTAAACGAAGTCATATCTCAATGTATTCTTTTGACAGAGCTAATAGCGAAACGGGAAGAAGTGAAAAATTATTCTTACAACACGACTACATTATATCTCTACTCAAACAATTCATAATACTGCTGCTAACACATGAAGTATAGAACATTAATTTATATATGCGAGGGGCTCGATAATCACCAATTAAGTAATCATATGCTGTGAGTAAATGTTCGGTGTTACAGTTAATGATCTGTGATGACCGTATTCAGGTAATATTAGCTAATTACAGCAAGAAAAACTGCATAAGAAGTTCAGTCAGTAGACAGAAATTTGTGGGAAAGCACAAAAAAGAAACGAGAGACAACAAGAATTTTCTTTTATTTAAAAAAGTTTTAAGTTGGCGTCTTTGCGTTCGCTCTGTTGACTAATACCATGTTACCGAATATTTTTTCAATTAAAAAGAAGAGTCCCGAAATGACTCACATACACCTTCGCAGACGATTGGGGCTTCACCAGTTCCTTCTTTTCCATCACATTCATTCGTTTTCGTCAGCTTTCGTCAATATCACCGAACATCACTATTATGCAACTAGTTTTACCTACTCCGGAATCACCCGCAAATAGAATGACTGCGTTGTCTTTTGCCTGTCGCTTTTCGCTACGAGTACGCAGCCATTCGTTTATCAGACAGTGTGGAGACATATCCCGATCGGGATGTACGCCCACTCGGGATATATATACCCCGAACGAGATATAGTTTGAAATTATATCCCGATTGGAATATCAAGAAAATCTATATCCCAATCAGGATATCAAGAATTTTAATTTTTAATTTGTAAGAAAATAATAAATTTTAATTATATGAGAGCTGAATATTCTTCTCCTTCTTTTTTATTTCCCCTCTCTAATGTTCCTAGTAGTGTCTTTTGTTTTCTCCAGCTGATCGAAGAGACACATATACCTTTTTAACAGACGTAAATAGATACAGACGGAAAAAGAATATAGCATCATCTATGTTACTTGAACTGTGTTTTTCCCAGGGGAAAAGAATATAGCATCATCTTTTATTCATTTTATATTTTATTGTACATGTGGAAATTAACCACCTTTTTCTTGTATAAATACTTTCGTTTTCTTCTTGAATAAACAGGCATAGTGAAGTCATCTACATGTTTGATAAGACTGTAACAATTGGTGCACTAGCCAAGTTTATCGACTTACAATCATTGACAAACTAACGGATTTGACAATCATCTTATCATCAGTCAACTCTTGGTCTTATGGAATAACATACTGATACTTCTATCGCAACACGAACTCGTTCACGTAAACATGCACTGAACAAGAAATGGGTGATGATGCTGATGATGATAAATCGAATATACAACTACAACATCTACAAGAAACATTCGCTAGGGAATTAGTCCAACAACAGAAGACTATTCAGGATCAACAACAGCTCTTAATGCAACTACAGTTGAATATTCAAGAATTAATGACTGGAAGGAAAAACCAACCACAGCTGCATGAACTTTCATCATTACAAACAACACTACCACCTTTTCATACATCACTTGAACATAACCCTTTTAAATATGACAACTTCATTGAACAACAATTAATCAAAGACAAAATCAGCAACATCCGAAAGTTTTTTTGTGTACTAAGCGAAGTATGGTAGATGAAAAAAAGCGCAAAGAATGAAAAAAGAAGAGAAATGATACCGACGTTGTTTGAATACAAGAGCATGCAAACATGGATGCACTCGACGACATCAGTACGGCTCTGAGGAAGGTTCATCTGCAAGTGAAACAACGGAAAATGAAACTTCATCGGATGATTTTCATTCATCAAGAACATCAACTTCTGGACCATACATTAAGTCAAGAGGCAATTTAAGGTCCCGGTCGTACAGTAGAAATTAGAATACTTCCACAGTATAAACTTTCTGGAAGAATTTAAAATGCTCATATAGTAGAGATTAAAGTTTCAATTTCTAGTAGTACAACTTAAAATCATAGCTTATTTTAATATGTTCTGGTAGAAATGAAATTTTAATTCCAGCTAGTAGAATTTTAATTTCTACTGCGACATAATAGAGAATTAGAAGTTATTGTAGCTGAGAAACTAACGGACAGTGTATGGGTAGCTGAATGTCAGGTTGGTTTGGCGAACAATAATTTGTGACCTTATGACTTTCATCTAGGAATGTAGATGAAAATTCACTGTGACCTTTTGGAGTAGTGATGTGGGAAATGGTAAAATGCTAGCAAAATGTTTCGCCAAAAATCAAAAAACTTTTTTAAGTTTGATAGAAATTAAAAGTGCATAGCTAAAAGTACCAGAAAAAGTCCTTATAACTGAATAGAACCCTGTAGGAAGTCACACCGTAACTTTTCCATTTTTTCTTTAACGAAATGAAGAGCATCCTATACGGAGGGATTGGAAAAAAGATGTTCTCATGGGAAAAAGAACTGCTATTACCGAAAATAATATTTGAAAGGGCAGAAAAACTAATTAAAGCAAGAGGCTTTAAGAACTACGTCGGATACTTCGAAGAATGCTTCAATTTTGACGAGTTTACCAGCTTTTTTTAAAAAAATAAAATAAAATATTATATATTAATATTATATATTATATATTATATGCAATTATAAGTTTTTTGTTGAACTATGAATAAAGCACGAAAAACAAAATACATTTTTACACATTTATTTCTCGAGTGCGCGTTTTTAGTGAGAGTGAAAATAATCTCTATAGGCTCTATTTTGAGATATACACCTGTAGCAAACAGGATGTTCCGCCTGGAGAAGAATGCAGAAGAAAAATATAAGAGAGATTACACATGGCATAAGTAGAGGAAAATAAAAAGAGATAACTGTACGATAGAACTAACTAGAAAACCTGAAAAAGAATATATATGCTAGGTATATAAAACAGAAAACTTATTATACATTTTAGATGAATACACAAGTGCTTATGACACTGCTAATTATACTAGAAACAGGTATTATGCTAGAAACAAGTAGAATAACAAGATCCGTCTACACGACGGTTAGACAACAGATGAAAGCAGGTAAAGAGAGCATTATACACGGAGGATCAGGAGTAACCACGGAGAATTATCTTACACGATCGCTACAGAGAAATAGAGAGAATCCAAAGTATTGTGGTATCTATGCCTCTAACACAACATTTTTGTCATCTACTATCGCAAGACCTATCTAAAAGTATCTCAATATGCGTGGCACATAGAAAGACTCTTCTATTAACACATAAAAACGAGCTGAAAGATAGAGTATATAAAACAGTACTACAACACCAAGCAGAAGAGGATCAGAAGAAGTGAAGGTTCGAAAAGCACGTGCACCCTTCGCCCTTATCTTCGGAGCCATCTCGATGTTGACGAGTATATTCACCTCCATAAAGGGTACAGAAAAGAGAGCATTATACACGCAGGATCAGGAGTAACCATGGAGAATTATGTCACTCATTATTTATCCACTTAAAATTAAGTTAATTGAAAAATTCAGAAATATTAAAAAATAATCACATACACAGGATACACTTCATTCCCGTCAGCAGTTTACTACAAACATTTTTACAATAAAAAAGCCATCTGAATTTAGTCAATGGATCAATAGCGACGTGTCCAAGAGCTCAAGTGAAGCATATAGGTTTTTTGAACAAAGACAGGTAGCAAAATATATAATGAAGTCATAGCCATAAGAGCCATATAATTGCAGGAAGTGCTCGATTCAATTATAGAGAATGCAATTCATCGAACAATGATTAACCATGAATCAATATTTTGCCAAATAGAGCAAGCTGATAATTGATGCTGATATAGTCATTTATTAGTAAGTATGTTTTTGATAATGAATTCCAAAGCTTTCTCCATCGATTCACATTCGCAAAAAAGTCGATCATGGTAGCTAATAATAGCCCAATGTACTCGGAAGGATATGTGAAAATGAAAATCGACATTGGTTCTATTACAACAACAGCTAAATTCTGGGTTTTAGAGAATCTCTGCACTGGTATCATATTAGGTCTTGATTGGCTCAGATCGGATGCTCACAAAGCCTGTATCGATTTCGACACAAGTGTATTCTCTATTTCGGCAAATGGAAAAAAATCATCTATATCCCTATTACAAATCAATACGAATCAACATTATCCTGTTCGTACATGCGACACATTTACATTAAATTCAATGGAAGAAAGAATTATTGAAATAAAAATTCCTGATCTACCTAATTGTGGTACAGCACACTTCACGCCAACACCTCGGTTTTTATATCACGATTCAATCCTGATGCCACATGCATTAATTAATGTAAAGAATTATAAAGCATTAATGACAATTACTAACATTTCAAATCAACCACGAATTATTAGTAAGAATACTCCGATTGGAATTATTGAAATTGAATCTCCACATTCAAGTTGTTTTTCAATTCACCACTCACATCTTCGTCGTCATTATCACCACAAAAACCAAATAATGAGGAAAATACGAAAATGCCCATCCAAGTAAAACGAACGATTGATGAAATGACATCTCACCTTAACCTTGACCAACGACAATCACTGTTACCTATTATTTATAAGTATAATTCATTATTTGATACATCCATACCAAAGATTGCAAACACTCATATACATCACACAATACAAACAGGCAATCACAATCCGACCAATTCCAAGCCATATCGTGTTAACCCAGAGAAACAACAAGTCATCGATGACGAAATAAAGTCAATGCATAAATATGGTCTGATTCGACCATCTCAATCAGCATGGTCTTCTCCTGTAGTGCCGGTGAATAAAAAGGATGGGAAATATAGTTTTGCGTCGATTACTGACGTCTAAATCAAATAACAATGAAAGATTCCTATCCTCTGCCTCACATGGAAGATACAACTAAACAACTAGGTGGATCATCATATTTTTCAAAGCTTGACTTGAAGTCCGGCTACTTTCACCTTCCGATCGATGAGAAGGACAAACCGAAAACGGCTTTTATCACCAGCAGAGGACTTTGGGAATTTAACGTCCTTTCTCAAGGCCTTAAAAATTCCCCACCATCTTTTCGAAGGGTACTCAACAATTTACTGGCAAACGGACGATGGCACTTCTGCTTGATATATTTGGATAACATTATAATTTATTCAAGATCATTCAATGAACATTGTGAACATTTAAATATTGTTCTATCAGTACTAAACCAAGCGAATTTCCAATTGAACCCGCCGAAATGTTCATTTGCAAAGCCTGAAATAGACTATCTTGGACATACGATCAATACCAATGGATTTAAGCCACTCAACACCAACATCAATACCATTATCAAAACACCTAATCCCAGAACAGCAAAACAAGTACATTCCTTTCTTTAAATGGCTAACTTCTATCGTAAATTTATACATAATTTCACCGAATTGACTCGTCTTCTTCGACCATTCCAAAAGAAAAATATGAAGTTTTATTGGGGTGAACAAGAATAATTGGCATGGTATGGACTAAAAACAGCATTAGCAACATCACCAGTTTTCTTAAATTTCCCGATATATGATGTTAAAACGAAGAAGCCATTTCCATATGTTCTTTCAACAGATGCATCCAAATTTGGTATCGCGGGTGCTTTGAAACAACAAACACCTGAGGGACTCAAAGCAATTGTATATATATCTCGAACATTAAATGCAGCAGAAAGAAATTATTCAACATTCGAACGAGAATGTCTGGGAATTGTTTGGTCCGTAACAAAATTGAGAGACTATCTGGCCGATGAATCCTTTGTCATTGAAACTGATCAACAACCAGCTCGTAACATTCATTTAAACCGTACATCAACCAACAGGCGAGTGAATAACTGGAAGTTACAATTACAAGATTATGATATTATAGAAATTAAATATAAATCTGGAACTAAAAACTGTGATGCGGATTACATGTCGCGTCATCCATTAATCAATAACGAAGAGATTAATGATGATCTAGATGGTGTATGTGCTGTGATGACAAGATCAAAAACAAAGCAACAAAATATAACAGCACAAGATTCTTCTTCGACTACATCATCATCTATTACATCTCCGAAAGTTTTTCATTCAAAACACTTATCATCTCTTGATCCTGATCGATTAAAATCTGAACAAAATAATGATGCCGAGATTCAAGAAATAATTCATGAATTCACGGATAAACCTGATGATCGTTATTCGATAGTAAATGGAATTCTTAACATACAATTCAAGAATGGAAAATATGTACCAGTTATTCCAATTACATTAAGAAATGAAATTCTTCATTCATTTCATGAACATCCGACAGCCGGTCATTTTGGTCGAGATAAGACGTGGTACCGGCTTAAAGATCGATGTTTCTGGCCGACTATGCGTCAAGATGTGATTCATTATATTCAATCATGCTCGGCTTGCGCACAACACAATATCTGAAGACATAGAGCTCCGGGACAAATGCAACTAATTGAATCTCCAGGTGAAGTTTTTGATTTAGTACAAATGGATTTTACAGGTCCACTCCCCAGATCAATAAATGGAAACCGATATGTAATCTCCTTAACTGATTATCTCTCAAAATATGTAATTAGCAAAGCTGTTCCTGATGATTCAACAAAGACAGCAGCTGAGTTTCTTGTTGATATATCATTGGAATTTGGTCCTCCTCATCAATTGCAAACTGACCGTGGGATCCACTTCACAGCTGCAATCTTCGAAGCAGTTGCGAAACGCTTGGGATGTGTACATACGGTATCAACACCTTATCATTCTCAGTCGCAGGGAGTCATCGAGAGATTTAATGCAACATTCAAACAACAATTGGCTAAATATACAAACGAACATTATGATGATTGGGATGATTACCTTAGAACAACTGTGTCATCTTACAATAGTTCGGTTCATCAAGTAACTCAATTTACGCCATTTCAAATATTTCATAAAAGAAAACCAGTCTCAATATTTGATCCTATAAGAAGAAAAGTCACTATTCCCGGAGTCAATGATTATTGGGATTATTTTCTTCGATTTGAATAAGTTTATATGAACCACACACGACACAATATTCGACAACATCAACAATATGCACAACGAAGATATGATTCGGACCGACCCAATATACAATTTACGCTTGAACAGCCAGTCTTTATTATCAAACCAGGAATGCACCCGGCATTTAGAAAATTGTATGAGGGACCATACAAGATCATCAAGAAATGGGGACCAGCAGCGTTTGATGGTATCGATATTCATGGCAGAGTGAAACGGGTTCATTCATCACAGATGAAACCTTTCCTCGAACGCGAATAGGCGAATGTGATGAATCATATTACATTTACTAGAAGAAAATAGAATTACACACGTTATTCTGTTCATATGGTGTATTGAGATGGTGGCAACTCTCCAAGTATGTACACTGATAATAATCATACGAATCCCAATGCGAGAATTATATGATGACAAGGAAGAACCCATCAAGGAACGCCCTTTTTCTTGAAATTGTTCATTTGCTCCTTCCGTTGATGTGGTACACCACATCTGGTTGGGACGGGGAGGTGTAAGCGAACAGAGAAGATATTCGTTCGCTCTATCGATCATACGTATGACATATGGGATTTTCCTTCTTTTCTTTCTGTCGATCATGTTCTTTTCCCTTACTTGTCATTTTTCTCTCTCTCTTCATATTGTTTGATCTATGTTACTTGAACTGTGTTTCCAAGGGGAAAAGAATATAGCATCATCTTTTATTCGTTTTATATTTTATTGTACATGTGGAAATTAACCACCTTTTTCTTGTATAAATACTTTCGTTTTCTTCTTGAATAAACAGGCATAGTGAAGTCACATCTTTGATAAGACTGTAACAGTAAGCTTTCGTGAATATCGCCGAGCATCACTATTATACAACTAGTTTTACCTACTCCGGAATCACCCGCAAATAGAATGACTGCGTTGTCTTTTGCCTGTCGCTACGAGTACGCAGCCATTCGTTTATCAGACAGTGTGGAGACATCCCGATCGAGATGTACGCCCACTCGGGGTATATAAACACGGCACAGCCTTGCGTGAGACGTTCCTTGGCATCGTTCCAACTACTCAGGTGATCGGCTAAGAGACCATCTTTCCTGCACCACCACACAAGATCTGAAGCAATGCACGCTCCACCAATGCCTGCTCGACGTGACGCTTCCCCCACCCGCGGGCTCACAGTGCTGTTGTTTTCTCGAAGTAGTATCAACCTAGCTCTCTGAATCGCGACTCCTCCACAGGAGTGGCCATCTGTATTCACACTCCCACCGTAGGATACATCAAGAGCAAGCTTAACAGCTGATGGTTTCTTCAAGTTAGGAAAATGAGGGATTGATTCATAATCAGTGATTAATTTTGCATCAGGTAAATCTTTCACAAAACAGTCTTTCATTTACGTTTTTCCACTTGTATTGAGTTGATTTATGTTTTCGACTGTGAAGAAAGCGTCGGAATCGAGCAAATTATAGGGAACGATGTAGACAAAAGAGCGAGGAAATAAAAAGCACTCAAGCGAAGGACAGGTACAGTAGGCATCAGGTAACTTTCTTTTAAGCTTTAGAATACACATTAGTCATTACGTCGTATCAAATTGTAAAATACCCAACTCCTCTTCCTAATATGTGTTTTTTCCCATTCTAAATAGATATTTATTCATAAGACTAAAACGCATACACTATTTTTTCAAACATAACATGGCTGTATCAGTTAATGAATACACATATGTTGATGAGGATCGAATATCTCGATCTCTCATCTGTTGTATTTGTCTTGTAGGAAACTTGACAGTATTGTCAAAATTCAGAATGTAGTCACTGATGTCAGATCAATTTTTTCGTTTTGTAGCCGACATTCTATGCTATTCGCTTATGATTAGTCAAAAATTTCAATTGCACTGAGAGCTTCTATTAAAAATTTTCAACTAATTCCTATATCAAAAGTCTGTTTCCTTTATATTGTGACAAACAAATCTGAAATGAGAGAGTTGAGAAATTTGAGTTGTGCGAGATATTTATACAGGAGGAGGACCGTGACTGTGACCAGATGTTTTTGAAAATAGTCTTATATGAGGCTTAAAAGTTTCTTAGTTGTATTGTGAACAGACTGATTTTCTAATCATCTTTCGCTACAAAAACCAAAAGCTTCGATTATCCGGGCGCATCAGCATTTTCCTCATTTCTTGATTCGCGTAATTGTTCAATCACACGATGTTTTCTATGTACCATTAACGCCCATTCTTCAATCTCACTCGCCTCTGCTACTTTTCGAAATGTATCTTCCATTGCCTCTAAGTCTGCATTGTATGTCTCATACTTTGCCGTATTCTCATCAACAGCAGGTTTAAGTCTTTCAATTGTATTGTCAGCAACATCCAGAAAAACCTAAATTTCATAAAATTGCTGATACGAATCTCTCGTTTTTAAATCTTCTAGCGAATCAATTGATAAAAGCAATATTGATATATTCCCGTAATAATCTCCCGGCTGCCTCTCCTTACTAAATCGCATAAGTCTCCCAGGCTATCATTAGATAAGTTAGAATTAGAGGGTAAACTGGTCTTCTGGTTAGTGGGAAAGTTGGTACAATTATTCACTTGACATGTATTTCTTCTGTAGTCTCTCAAGGAGGAAAAAGCGGAATGGGCTGGAATGGACCTTTTCAGCCCATTCCAAACCATTTTTGACAAACTTATATACTGTCAAGTGTGTATTTTGAGAAACAATGTGTTTGTGCACATAATTTATCTATGCAAGAGTAGCTGCTTCGATGAGCGTCTTTCCAATAGAAGAAAAGTTCGAATACAGTCTACTGAAATGATCATCAGGTCGCCAAACACTTGAGTGTCGCTAGTTTATCGGAATATATCGAATTAGATAACGTAGCGGCTCTTAACGGATAGAAAATACTGATAATATCTCAAAAAACTAAGTATGAGCTCTTAAAAGTGCCCACATCCTAGGTGCATAAAGAGATGAATATCTATGCAGTTGCAGTGTAATGGTTGCGCGCACGTAGAAATCAACTTCGGTATTTTTATTCGTGCTAATGGGTGGTCTATATCTAGCTTCTGGCTCGGACTGATCGAAAGTGTAGCAGTGGAAAAGTTGGCCACACTGACCATGAGATCCCGTGAAGGGTGTATTAGGCCGTTTGCCACTCGAGGGGAGAGGTGAATAGAGGTGATAAAGTAGGTTTCGTCCGCAGTAAAGGTAGAAAACGATTTATGGGATTTAGCCGCGATGAGCATGGTATGAAATGGCGGGATACGAGCTGATTAAGCTGCTAAAAGTGTGTAGGTGGCGAAGTTGGAAGTGGATAGTGTAGAGGGTGGGACGGAAGAAGCTGGAATCTTGGTAGGAGATGGGAGTGGGGTATTCGAAAGGGTGTGTATTTGATTTTGAGATGGGTTTATGACCATTTTATATTTGCGAAAAAGACCTAAAACACAAAAATGTTGCAAACTCGGGATAACATATACTGAATGGTGATAGATATCGCCATTGAGATTAAGGGTAACCCTATAAGCATCCTTAGACGACATATGAGACCCGTTCGCGAGCCGAACAGTGATAGGACGGACACGTTGAGGAGGACCGAGTGCATGAGGTTCAAGAGGTTCCCGGGCCTTATCACTGATTAGGGTTAAGGTAGATCCGGTATCTATGGTGAAAGTAGAATGATAATCATTGATCTGACCCAGAATTTGAAGAAGACTATGGGAAGTAGAAGTACGAACAATGCCAATTGAATGCAAGGCATCAGTGGAGGATTTATGATTCATGGAGAATGCGGGGGCATTCCACTTCTTACTAGAGGGACGCCGGTGCAGCACTCTGATTCAGCGTACGTTGTTGTTGTTGCATGGAAAAAATGATTTTTTCGGCAGAGCGAGCTTTATCCATGAACTGATTAAGTGTAGGATGCTCGAGTACACCCATAAAGGTTGCTAGATCCGGACGCATTTTTGCGTAAAGATGTTGAATTAAATCATGCTCAGTCTCAGTCGGTTTTGCCTCATACCAGATCCCCCGTAAACGAACCAAAAATTGACTAATAGGCTCATCGGAACGTTGAACACAGTGATTCCATTGCTCTTCGGTTTGGGCAAGACGAAGAGGGGAAGTAAATTGTTCGATGAAAAGGTGTTGGAACTCCGACCAAGTAGTAGGAAGAATATGGGTAAGGGAGAGTTGAGTGTACTAGTCTAAAGCGGTATCTTGTAAAAAGGTAGAAATACCCTGCAGTAATACAGTATCAGTCCAGCCGTACATGCTTGGAGCAAAGTGCTGAAGACGAAGTAAAAACTGGAGAGGTTTTTCAGAAGGTGTACCAGGATATTGAGGAATGGTAGTAGGTGCCGGAATAATAACAGTCTGAGGTGCCGGGCGCATTTGGGACGGTACATGAGCGGAAGAAACAGTCTGATTTATTTGCATAGCTGAAGAGGGATGGGTAGAAAGACTTTCCGGTTTTGTGGACGGAAGATGAATAGCGGTTGGAGAACCGGCGCGAATTGGGGGAGGATTGCGTAGATGCGCATTAGACAACATCGGACGTCGCAGGTCAAGAAGTGAATCCTCGAAATTTCGGGCAAGAGTTTCTAACCGGTTTTGAATATCCAAGGAAGTATCGTCTAACTTCAATTGTAAGGCATGGTTTGCATGCTGAAGCAGAGCAGTTTCATTATCGGTATGCTGGTGTGAACGGTCAATTTTGTCATTTAGTTCCTGCATGAGTACCGTCTGAGAACGATGATTATCATAAAGCGTTTGAAGATGGTCCTGGATGGACCTTTCGCAGGTGGATAAATTATGAAATTCAGCCATGATAAAAACCAATGTGACTTACCAGACAATATGAAGAAAGATAGAAAGAAAAAAACAAAAAGAGTTTTGCAGGAGAACGGAAGGTTCGGCAAGACGAGATCGCCAAGTGTGAGGAACCTATATTTCCTCTAATTATAAGTCCTTGAGTTGATTGTATGCGTGCGTTAAGATATGTAGTATTACTCTTTTATTCGACTACTCTTTATCACAAACTACCAAAAACTAACTTTTCAAAAGCAAAATACTAATATATATATATGTACTACTGCATGCACAAAAGATAAGAACCACAAAAGAACAAAGTGAGGAAAGAACGAAAACAGACAAGGAACAGAACGAAACAAAAGGGAGTAGCCCTAGCGACAGAAGTACGTACTGGAAGAAGAGGTTGTGACAAAGAATCGTTACAGGGTGCCAGTTGTTTTTGTAGAGAAATTTAATTGAAACGCGAATGCGATTTTGTTAATAAGAGAATTTTCGTTTGCGAGAGAGTGAAAAGAAGAAAAGTATAAGAAATTTTGAACGAAAGGAGGCTTTGTTAGTGAAAAACATACGTAACGTTGAAGTTTAATTACAGTTATTGTTAATTGCGATTATTGTAGCTATTAAAGGAAAAAAAGAAAGCAGAAGATAGATAAATTCACTAACAAAAAGTGATATATCTCGCCTTTACGTAGACTAGGGAAGTAGAACTAATGGCATCAGCTTAGAATGTCAAGATTCCTGATTCGATTCTACTCTGGTGACACATTTTTCCTTCATACGGAATCTAATAATACTAATAATGACATTTTACGAGCATCTGACCCAATAGAGTTTGAATTTGATTAAGGACAAAAATTGGCCCACACAATGCTCTCTTTTGAGTACTTTACCGATTGAATGACTTTAAAGCAACCATCATTATTAAAAATAAACACATTTGAGAGCAGTTTAAAATGTTTTAGGTTACCTTAGTTTTTGGTAGTTTACATTTATCTAACTTTATGTATATGTATCCAGTGCCAACAGCGTAACACAAAATTTTATTAGTTAAGTTTAATTACTAATTATTTTATTTTAGTTAAATTATGTGATTTAGTTTTCTTCGCCTTTAATAGGTATGTATACGCATTTGGATGTGGAACTGTTTTCTGTTTTCAAGAAAATAGCTAAACTGAAACCATATTAATGCACTTTTTTTAAACTAATAAATGTTTTCAGCATACTTAATTTTCTCTATTATTAAACATTTTTACTAGAAATCAAACATTGATCAAGTAACTTTAACTACTTTGTTATATTAAGCTACGTCACTTTTTATTTTTTCTTCTACACTTTAACAATGAATGTTTATCGAATAAATTTAATGGAGAAAGAAAAAGAAAGATAGTAAAACATCTGTGAAAACATTTATCAGTCCCCCACTGATACGCTAAATATCAGTCTATCCACTTTTCCTTCAATACACTAGGAAACGTTAAACATTAGAGCGATCTAGTCAGATCAGGAGATTGATGTACTTGGTCATCGAATGAAAGAATTTGCGAGAAAAGTCTGCGCACAAAAGGACATTCGAAAAATTCTTTCTGTTCCGCAGGAATTTCGATACACTAACTCCGTGGTTGGAAACAACAAGGAACATGAAATAGACAAGACATTGGGGATCAAAGAGCCCGAAGATGTACAAAAGATTACGTTCATCATCAAGTAAATTTGTAAGCTAAGTTAACATTTTTCCAAAATTCTTAATTAATTCTACACAATCAGTGAAAAATATTTCCAACCGCTGTAGATTACTGCTTCAAGTAGTGTGATTCCTAATTTTCTGCATGTACCTTTTTCCACCTTGCAAGGATATTTTATATTCACTATGTCTGATCAATCATCATCATCAGCAGGTTTTTTCTAAAGTTTGATTTTAGCAAAACATTCGTGTGTGAGAAACTACTCATTCTCTTTTTTTTCTACCGACTTTGTTGAACAGAGGTGTTGTTATGTGTGTGATCAACTGTATTTATGCGAGATTTGAAAAGGTTTTGTGAGCAACGTGTGTCATTCATGTTAAAGTTGTTTTGTTGTCTGGCTTTCGATATAATTGTCTTGTTGTATTTATACACGATTGTAAAGAAAAACTGTTCTGATTTATTAGAAAATGTTAACTTAGCTTACACAGCACTGACTGCCGAGTCTTTCCATCACACGAGCTGGATGATCTGGAGAGGCGTCTACCCACATCATACATCCGGGGGCGAAAATGCTGGCTGGTTTAACATTGTCCTCATAATTTTCAACACTTCTGAATCAACACTTTTATGTATTCACATACATAACCTTTATCATTAGAACCGTATCAAATAAAGGATATCTATATCTTTTCACTTCTCGGCAAATGCGAGCAGATGTCTGTAGAGAGTGTTCCAATGCATCGTGTTCTTTTTTCTATATGGTACAAGGGAGACACCAAAATCGGTCTGACGGATTTAGGCAGCACTTAAGCGTAAAATTGATTCCACCATGAGATAGAGCATCAAAAACACTCGGAAAAACACACAAAAGTATTTTACTAAACGCCTATTAAGTGGTCCGAAAATGAGTAAGTTTAGGTTTTTCACTCAGTTTGTAGGGAGAGATTTTGGAACTTGCTTTGCCCATAAGTCAATGAGATTGTATTTAAACTGTTTTAAACTTTCAGAACGAGAAGCAGGTAGGAGTTGTATGCGTGTTAAAAATTTCAGCACTTAAAGTTGATGTCTTCCTAGTAAACTTCGCGTTATGCCGCAAAATGTAGGGAGACTTTTTTTGTAGGGAGAGATGCGTTTCGAACTTTTTTCCTATTCATAGCTGTGCAGAACTGAGAGAAGTAAATTTTAATGGCTTTTCGAACACGCTCTTTCTAGTAGAGCAAACAGAACTACGTAAAACAATAGCTTTGGCAGTATTTACCAATAAGCCATTTCGCGGTTGTGATTTTTAGACTTTTTTTGAGGGTCAATCGACCAAATATCTTTTGGGGGAAAACAATGAAACCTCACACATCAGGTTTTTCGCGTTTGAACCTCACAAAACCTCGGAAAATCTCAAAATCAATATCTTTCGGTTTTGTGAGCTTTTTCGCACGAAAGTTTGGATCTATTTTGAGATATTTCGTGTCTTTTATTGTTCTAATTTTTTCCAACGGGTACACCACCTGCAGGTAATTTTTCCCGCCCAATTGCTCTTAAGCTAGTAGATAATGCTGCCCAGAGATGTCCTGCGCAAATTGTAGGTCTCTATCTTGTTTCTATTAGAAGTTATATTGAAAATATCACAGGTCACCGTTAATTTAATGCATTAGGAAATTGCACCTTTATTATCTTAGCCGGTAGACCTTTGGTAGTTTGGAAATTTTTACCTGGTACTCAGAAAATTAAGGGGAACAATCTGGTCGACTCAGATTTTTGATAAAGTTACTTACATTTTTTCCCACAAATTGTACAACTAAAATACGATTCACTCAAATGTCTATAGCGAGTGTTCTTCTTTCTATAATGATAATGGTAAAGATATTTCTTCATTATTCCGCATCGTCTAAGAAAACAGAAGGAAAAAAATAAAAAGAAGCAGAACGCAAAAAGTTTCGTTCTATTGTTAGGTTTCTGGTTCGATGTAACGATTAAACCTGTGAATATCTGTGATCTATATTAGAACTGAAAGTGCATATCTCAGATATATCTGAGTTATAAGAAAAAGGAGTCAGTGAAAAAGGTCTGTTCTTTTTAGATGCCATATCATTCAACTTAGGGTCTTTGGCCGTACTTAGAACACGAAAAATTTCACGTTGACTCATTTCTAATTTTTGAAGTCATTTCTAAAGGTGGAAAAAAGTTTTCAGTTTGCCAAGGAGAGTCAGAGCTATCGATCTATGTAAAAGTATTTAAGATTCGTTTGCTGAATTCTTATTAATTAAGACAAAAATGAAGGTTACTATGAATTTCTTTTCTTTTCTGTCTGCTCCTAAATACAATACGTCCATACAAATACATGGAGATTTTCAATCAAGTTGAAGAAAAGTCTTTTGCTTACAAAGTTCAATGAAACCTTCAAAATTTTATATAGAAATACTAAGAAGAGTCTGCCGAATCAAACCATATAACTTTTCGCGGAAAAATATTACTTTTTCGCGCACTTATGGTGGGATTATTGCGAGTATATTCGTGTTCTAATTTTTTCCCGTTCCAAATAAGAATACGACGTGTATTTTCTGTTCCTATTTAGAACACGTCCATACAAATACATGGACTTTCTAAGTAAAGTCAGACAAAAAAGATGTAGGCGCTACCCGAAGTACAAAATGGAGGCAAATGTTTGTAACAAAATATGTTCAGAAAAGTCACTTTCTTGACGCCTGAAACAACTTAGAGATGGCAATGGTCTTTTTTCATTGTCATTTGCATAATTTGATATATAATCCTCTAAATGTTTCATTAATAGTATTTTATCCGTAAAAATTTTATTGGTCGTTTTTGAATAATTTTTTGCTAGCCATTTTTGTTTTCGTGGTTCATCTTTACAATATATATAAATTGAAATGATTTCCCATCTTTCATGAATAATTGAAATAAATTTTTTTTCTACATCACTAGATAAAATTAGTAAAATTAGTTTTTGTCCATCATTGTTCACAATATAATGAATATATAAACATGGATCCGAAAATATTTTTAAATTATCATCATTTAAAAGTATTTTTATGTCTTTGATAAGATCATCATTATCGGAATTTTTTGAATCAACAAATGCAATAGATAACTGATCATTGTCATTAAATAATGGTAATAATGAATTATTATTTTTACCATCTATAATTGCTCTTAAACACAGAGAATCAATAGTATTTGTAAAACAACGCACGTTATTTTCTAAACTTACTTTCCAACTACAACTGTCGGAAATTGATACATTTAAATTAAGTTCGCATGCCGACACTAATCCTAAATATTCATCTGAACGCAAGCAAACAAAAGGGACTTTTTTAGAAACATCAACTCGCTGACCAACTTTTATTTGGATCAAATTTACATCACTCTGGAACAAAAAACGAGTGTAGCCTCTTTGAAATCTCTGTTCGGTATTACTAAACCCTTTGCACATCTCTTACCAGTACCTCAATATTCCCTTCTCCATAGCCAGTTAGATTTCTTTTAGTTTTATATTCGTTTTCCGAATATCGTCACCTTCTTATTAGAGGTCTGCAGGTTATGACTTTTCAATATTCTGTAACCTGCCCCTATAAATATTTTCGTATTTTATAACCTGTCCTTCCCTATCGAATTTTTTATTCTGTCCTGTCCTAGCCTGTAAAAAATGCTTCTTCCTATATCCTGTTCTAGTATCTCGTTTGTTGAAGCAGGATTCATGACTCGGTGGGAGTGCCCCATGATTTTTGAACTTTTGCTGGACGCTTTCCCATTTAGACCAGAAATTTCACTTACGAGGGAACCTCCCGAGGTCAGGAATCGCTTTTTGATCGAAATCTAGTAGGTTATAAGTTATTGACCATGCTGATTCCGAATATGACCATGGGCATAGCCCTTTGAAGATTCGGCTTTCTGAAAAATCAGTTTTTCAGAAATTCCAGAGAATAATCAGACCTTTTTTAACAATGCAGGATTATAGCCCGCAAGTTTCTGATTAAAATAAGACATTCCCCAGCTCTACACGACCTTTCTTTGCAAAGTTATAGAATTTATAATCAGAGCCCTAAATGTTCATTGTCAGCTCAAACCTACAGAAATAAGAAAAAATTAATTTAGGGCTTTTATTATAAATTCTATAACTTTGCAAAGAAAGGCCGTGTAGAGCGGGGGGATGTCTCAATTTAATCAGAAACTTGCGGGCTAAAATCCTGCAGTGTTAAAAAAGGTCTGATTATTCTCTGGAGTTTCTGAAAAACTGATTTTCCAGAAGACCGGATCTTCAAAGGGCAATGTCCATGGTCATATTCGGAATCAGCATGGTCGATAACTTATAACCCACTAGATTTCGATTAAAAGGTGATTCCTCACCTCGGGAGGTTCCCTCGTTAGTTTCTTTGTTATTGGACTTGCTTTCTGCATTTTGGATTTAATTATGAGTTTTTGTCCTGTCAAAACTCTAAAATAATGACCGGCACTGGCAGTACTAAAACATAAAGTTTGTTCTTCGTGTATATCTTTATGAGAATAAAGAAAAATAAAACTGACTGAAAAAGCGACACGGTTTTTTTAATTATAGAAAAATAAAATATGAGTCATAGGTCTCCAGGATTTCAAGACTTTTCTAATCTGGAGTTATCTCCTTGACAACAACTCTACAATAATTTCCATCGTGACAGGACGGATTTGTCCCCAAAACATACTTTATATCATCTTTTTACTATACCCTATCCTATCCTATAAATTTTGCGCAACCTAATCTGTTCAGATTAAACGTGACGAATTTCACCTGCAGAGTTCTAATTCCTATAGCATTCACTACGTCTCTGCAATCTAAAGCCACGTCCTTTAATGTCCCTTTACCTCTCTATAGTTTACCACACATCTGCTTACGTCGTTGTACGCTGGAAACAGTTTGACATCTTAATATACTCTTATTTAAATTTATACGTATATATGTTGAAGAATAAATTATGTTATTGACACCCAGCGATTCCATCAACTTACAGTAAACAGTCTGGGGTTTCAGAATATGTGACTGATTAGCACCGTGATCACACTTACCTCGATCATTTTTTATAAAAAATCCGTTTACAATCAAAACGCGATTTTCTGTCACGCGAGATTAAAAACG